TTGTCTAATGAACTTATAATCTCTGAACAAATCGCTCGGATTGACTTATAGTATATTGCTTCCAAATAAACTGACGGATCCAATTTAAGATAAAGATCTTTTATCTTTTTGTGCTCTAAAATATGTATTTCTTAAAGAGATAAAATTATTTCATTGAAAAAGTTCACCGTCTTTACCATTAACTCAGTATTAAGAGCGGACTTACTGTTATTAATCAATTTGTTGTAGATCAATATTTTTAAGTTCTAAAACAGTTCCAAATCTATTTCTACAATATTGTCGATTTTCATAAAAATATTACATTTTCTACTAAATCTCATATGTTTATAATCACTTATTAAACAACAAGAAATGATCGTAGGTATCCAAAACCCGGTTTGAAAATGGAAATCATATGCATCCGATTATAAGATATAAGGATTTTAAAATAGAGATCGTCTTTGGATTCATTTTTCTTCTCTCACAAATAGAGCGCCTATCTACAAACGAAGTAGCAAATTTAGAAATTTTTTTACTCCTTCTCAATTTTTTACTCCTCTGACCAATAAAAACTTGAACTCAATTGCCGTAATATCAATGCAAGAATGCTATATTCTGGCTAGATTCAACTATTGTTCTTGAAGATGGACGCTTTCTAAGGATATTAAGAGATAACATGTATAGAATATATACATTAGGGTGAGCCAAAAACTAATATTGAATTTTTAGGTTGAATGAACCTATCTACAAAGAAAAATATCCTTGGAGGAAATTTTAGCTTAATTTTATTTAAAAACTAATATTAAAGGTATCGGTGAGCACTTAAAGTTTTCTATAGAATATCACGTAAAAACTGTTTTATTAAAATGCCATAACTTTTGAAACTTTAAGCATACAGCTTTAACATCTCGGATTCTGACAGCATAAAATCTACCTCAGGATTTGTTTTGTCATTTCAAAAATTCGGATTTGAAATTGAAAATTTTGACTCACCCAATATACATGTAAACAAGTTTAATTATTTTAGAGAGTTGTAATTATTTGAGAGAGAGTACAGTTACTCAAAGCCTTTACTCACCCCTTTGATGTTGTGTTTCCAAACCTTTTCTTTATGTATGTTTTGTTAAGCCTGTAGTTGTTTTTAGGGAATTAGAGTGAATAAGTAAAACAAGCGTTAATTTCCATTAAGCTAGAATCATATCCCAACCGGCTTAGTGGCTCCGATGCCACTTATAATACACACTTTAGTTATTAAATCTACAGCAATGAGGTTCGTGGAAGCTTGTATTGCCGCGACATCTCAGTCGACAACTCGTTTGCGTCACCCGCCCAGTGCCTGACAACTTCAAAGAGAAACTGTGAACGAACTAAACAAAGTACACAGAGAAAGTTTTAAGCAACTGGAGGGTGGATGGGCGACCGAACCATAGTAAAACAGGCAGAAGAGCGTTGTAGCGGCAGCGCGCAGTGAAAAGCACTTCAAGTGAATTTGGAGTGCGGTGTTGGGAGATATCGCTACTTCTTTGCCAACTGCTTGGCGCAGAAACCAAATAGGTACCCACACATACACATATCCACATACACATATATATATAAAATAGAAAAACTCGGGCGTATATTATCACAGCGCAGCTGAGCGTAAACCAACAGCAGTGTTGGCAGCAGGCAAAGCGGTAGTACCCTAAAGTGGAAATGTTGCTGGCGTCAGCCTGCGGTAACATCATGTTGTTGTTCGTTTTCGTTCGTTTTTCGTCATCGTCATTTTCGTGGTTTCCGTAGACGTACCATCCTCGCTCGTATCCGCATCCTCATACTTGTCGTCGTTGTCAGTTGTAGCAACGTGTTACAAATTTTTATTGTTATTTTTTCCTTTACGAATGCAATGAGAACAACAACTGCTGACAAGCTGAAAGACGTAGCATTAAAAGAAGTTTGCTTGTTGCATGCCCCATATTGCTGAACGCAAGAGTTGCGCGAATGGCAGCTTGCAGCAGCAACGAGGAAATCTGAACTAACAACAAATTCGAAAATAACCGGAAACCACAGTTATGACAACAAAAATATCAAAAAAAAAAAACAACAAAATTATAAAGTTCAGAGAATTGCACAAAATAGGAAAAAGATGTACACAGAACTAATGCAAGCAAACAATAACAAATCTCGCAAAACAAAGTGCATAATATTATAGTATTGTTTTTAGACACATAAAACTATCGCGATAAATACTTGTAAGCTGCACAACAACACCTATTAGTTTAATGGTTGAAAAGATGCGAGCAGGTGAGCACAGATTAAACCCTACAACAGCGGGACTTTAGTTGGATATTAAGAGCCTCGTGGGAAATCATAATGCAGAAGTTCAACATACATTAGCATAAAATAGATTTCGTCCGAATTGAAAGAGAAAGTTCTGGAAATACAATACATAGTTCCAGTATATTTGCTTGAATTCAAAAATTTCTAGCGAATTCCATTAAAAAATTGCATGGATTTTGAAATAACATTTCTCTTTATAATATTGCGTTCTAATTATTTGTTGTTGTTTCGATATTTCATCGTTCCATTCGCATCTTACCTTTAAGATTCTTTGCCGATCTAAACAGGGTTAGATCGCCAAAAAGACAGCCCATGACCAGATACTATCAGATTAAAATTGACCCTGATTGACAAAAAAACACATTTTCACGTATTAAAAACATATAATATGTTTATTATCGCCTTTAAAATAGGCTCCTGACTCAATATACGTACAATCACGCCAACGCTTAATCCAATTTTCCATACATTTGTTATAAGTCTCAGCTGGGATAGCCTTCGGCGTCTGCAGCGAATTTTGTTTTTTCGGTTTCGGGTCATAATATCCATAAACCCACGTCTCGTCACCAGCAAAGCAAATAGTCTTGAAGGATTCAATCATTGATACGCTTTATACCCGAAACATTCTCCAAAATGTCTTGAGTCGATCCATAAGAGTAGTTGAATTCCTATACTATCTCTCTGAGATCTATCTCTCTGAGATACGGCGATTTTCAAGCACTATTTCTTTAACTTTATCGATGTTATCGTCATTAACAGCTGTGAATGGATGACTCGTATGAGGCAAGTTTTCGATAACTTCACGAGCTCCACTGAATGCTTTTTGCTACATAAATGCTTGTAATAAATTAGACTCTCCACAACACTTCTGCAAAATTTTCAGCGTGATTTTATTGGAAGCACAAACTCTCAGGCGAATTCGTTGTTTAATTTATTTTGCATAGTAAAAATCTACAGAAAAACTTTTTACTTTGTGAACAAACAGCTGCCATACGCACACTAATTCACATATGGAGATTAAACATTCATATTAATATACCAATCTAAGTTCAGATAATAAGATTAAGATTCTGATATTTGGAACCATTGTTCTCAAAGCCTTTGAAATCTATGAGATAAGTTTGTTCATATTTGCCGAATCTCTTTGAACAGTAACGGAAACAGAAAGATAAATTCTAGCAAATAGAATTCAGTCGAGGTAATCGTTGATCTTAACCTAGTCTAGAAGCCTGATTTTCGAAAAGTTGTGACGCTCGATAAAAACAAAAATAGTATTTTACCTTGCAATTTTTTATAATTTAGTTCTTAATATTACAAAAAAACATTAAACGAAAAAAATTAAATTTCACAAAGTTGCGCTGTTGAGAAAAAAGCGTGTACATTTTGCCATGATTTCGCTCTTTTACTCATTTCCATATAGGATAAGTGTTGATTAGATTCTCTTTCAATATAAGTGTCATTATGGCGGGAAGTTTCGAAACTGAAACGAAATTTCGCAAAATGGCGGTAAGAGTAATTGAACGTGTATTTAAAATTTCGGTAATTTTTTAACTTTTCAGAATTGTAAAAAAGAGCAAAAATTGAAATTCAATATTTCTTGTCGCTTTCCCACCATAAAATGTTATAAAATAACAATTTCAAGTAAATCGATTCATAAAAGCTTGAACTCCTTTCACAAACGCACAAAAATATATATAACCACGGTCAAGTTGCTACGTTGGTAAAATGGCTGTAACTTTTCAAATTTTTCGAGTTGTGAAAAATCTTTATAGGTGATATTCTTGAATATTTAAACTATCGAGAAATGATATATTTTCGATTTAAATAAAAACGAATCTTTTCAAAATTGATATTATATTAGAAAAAAAATTCCATTTAATATTTAATTTTTTTATGCTAATGCAGTATATGCAAATACATTAACCGATTTTCTTTTAACTTTTGCTTTGCCAACCATCAACCAAGATACCGATGCACTCATTATCAGAATCCTTCAGTGCACGCAATGAACGGGGGGAGTGTGAACATATGTATGTGTGTAGATAAAAACAGTGAATTAATCAACGACACTCGCACTGGCAGCCAAACGCCGCTGTAACCTAAAACTTTCTAATGACAAGAAATTCGTTCCCCTCGCGCCTGATAGCAAAGTCACAACTCACACACACACATATTCCACCAAGCATGCACTTATCTATGTATGTGTGCATTTGTGCATATACACTTCGTCGCTTTTACCGTTCGCTTATACAATCGTGCGCCGCGCCTTCGCCTCGCTCATGTCAACGTTTCTACGTTACGCCCCTTGATTGCTTGTGGCAGAGTACGCGATGTATTTAACGAATTTAAAAAGCGGAAAATTGAAATAATTTAAAACGGAAACTGTATTTCTGATAAGATTTCAGCATTCGCGCGTTGCATAACGGCGCTGCCTTAGCGAAGGCAGCAACTCAAGCGCACGTATCTATAAACTTGTACGAGTATGTCATAATCATTAAGCAGATAAGTCTCACTTTCATTATCAAGTGCGCCACATTACTGTATCCGTTTCCGCGCTAATGCGCTGACAGCGTTTCCTGTTCAAATATAACCGAGAAGAAGAAGAAGAAATTATAAACAAATATAGAAAATAATTTCATATAATCTCACTAACGCTTACACTTGACAATTATATTTTTGTTGTTGTTGTTTTTTTTTACTTGCAGCCCCACCCAAGCAACGGCAGTGCACCGGAATGCCCACATAAGCACACGTAGCCAGGCAATAACAACAACAACTTGAACAATTACAAAAATTCAAAATAAAGCTCAGTCAGATAGCGACGATGACAACAATAATAATGAACATTAAAACAGCAACTAGAACCCACCATTAAAACCAGCAACAGCAACAACAACAAATACGACAACGACACCAACGAACAAACACGTAGATGACAGAAATCCACGAGAAGCGAGAAGCTCACAATTCACAACGACCGCAGAGATAGAGCATAAAGCAAAACAACACAAACAAAAGCAAAAGCAAAAAATCGAAAAACAAACGGAAGTGCCTCACATAGCAGGAGTGGAAAGGAAAGACAGCAAAATAACCACGCAGAGCGGCGTAAATGTAATCGTATACTCGATTATTCGATGCTAGAAACACTGGTGGCGGCAGTAAGTCTAGTCTGTGGAGGGGAAGCCATAGATAACAGCACAAACAGTTGAGTGCAAGCTTCGGTGGGGGTGTGGAGCTACAGTGAACAGAGTGACAGTGGTGAGGACAGTGGTAGGTAATAGGATGAGAAGGCAAAACTGAGTGATGGCATTCTTGTAGAAATCCAGTAGCAAAAACCAGTCAAGTAAACAAATTAAAGTGCTGACTAAAAGCAGAGAGCGAAAACGAGTGAGAATGGCGATAAAAATTTAACAATACATAAATATACAACAAAAACAAAACAGGAGATTACAGAAATCAAAGCCAAAGCGCTCAAAGCAAAGATATGATGATAATTTACTTAAATTAACCCAATCCATCCATTAAAAGGTATTAAAGGAACAAAAGGGAATGCAAAAAAAAAATTGAGCATGCAAACAGAGTGCCAGAAGTGAGAAGCAAGCAAACGAGGCGCGGAGGAGTGTAAGTGTAAACTGAAAAAGATGTCAATGTAAAGCGATAAGCAGACACCGGATCTATAGATACGCTGCACATAGTAGCGAAGCGCTTGAAAACAAGAGTGACAGCAGCAACAAAAACAATACAAGTATTAGCTACAAATAAAAAAAAGAAATTCAACGTGAAAGTGGACGCAGCACAAAAAAAGAACGGTAAAACTTAACGGTGCCCAAAGCAGAGGCAAAGTGCCGTTGTTAAAGATTGCAGAGGAGGTTGCAGCGAGCTTGAAGCTTGAAAGCGGAAGCTGATGCTGATGCTGATTGACAGCGCGCCAGCGGAAGCAGTCATATGATCCGCAAAATGAAGGGATTAAGTTTTAGGCAAAAAGCAAATAAGCGACGAAAAAACGTGGAAACCAACCAAACACCAAGCGGCAGCACAACACTGGCAACACGCACAGCACGCAACAACAACAGCAAGGCAAAAATATGCAAAACAGCAACAATCACACAAACACATAACGGTCACACCGAACAGCTGACAACGCCATTAATATGTCGGAACAATAACAAGCAAAACAGTTGCAACAGCGTAGGTAGCCAGCGCCGCTACTGTAGCAACGGCAGCAGCAATTCAACACCAACACCAACACCCACCTGCAACCAGCACCACAACCACCAACACCAGCATTGCCTCGCCCCGGGCCAGCTGACGTACAAAATGCCATCGCCATTGCTGTCAATATGTCAGACAACAACTACAAAGGCTTTAGATGTGTCCGCGGACCATCAGCAACAACAGCAGCACGACCAGCTGGAAAGTGTTCAAAATCGTTGGCTTGCCCATAACAAAGAGCAACAACGTCAGCGAAAAACTACAATAACATTCGCACCCAACAAACTCACCCAACACCAACACCAACGCCAACAACCAGCAACCACAAGCGCATTGTCTTGCTTCAGAAAATCTTTGGCAACTTTGTCATTGCGCTCACTGTCTCGCCATCAGCTCTTCCATTTCCCTCAGCACCTCCAGCATCTTCACCTTCACTTTGGCATCGCCATCATAGTGCTGGCCTTCATTTTAATGTATTCATGCCCATGCGCGTCGGCCTTGCGTCTCACAAATGGCGGCAACACTAAAACTTTATCCGCTAATAAGGAGCAATTAAATATTGGCCTAATTGCACCGCACACAAATTTTGGCAAACGTGAATATTTACGCGCCATTAACACAGCCGTACAGGGTCTGGCGAAGACACGCGGTGCCAAGCTGACGTTCCTGAAAGACTATTCATTTGAACCGCGTAATATACATTTTGATATGATGTCGCTGACGCCGAGTCCGACAGGTGAGTACCTCGTCATTCATTTATCTTCGTTTGCAACGCGATTTGATAGGACATTTTATTGATGTCGGTAATCTTTGTTAATGTGTTGTTTAATAATGTAAATACTTTTTATTACCAAGTAGTAAAATTATAAGCACTGTATTACATTTCACCCGGATATATAAAAAAGTAATAATATTAATATGACTATGACAGTTTTACCTGATGCTTGGCCGAACTTCTCCTCCCCTTTGGGCTGCGAGTTCGGACTTTTAATGGCGGCTGCTGTTTTTGATTTTGATTCTCAGTATAATTCCAAGTAGTTAAATGTTGCTTTTTCTATAAGTTTTAATTCGACCTCAGCCCGAATTTTAATTCAAATAAAGTAGCAAGGGCAATAATAATTCACTAACGCAGCTAGTCGAGACTATGTCAACCGTTATCACCTATTTATGTCGTTTAGTTGAACATTTTTCCATTTACAAGTTAGGAAAAAAGCGTTGTTTGTAATTTTTTTTTACGAGGCGCTTTATTTTATATATAAATGATGAAGTGTACATTTACAGAATTTAATATACTTCAATAAGGTGATTCAACAAAAATTTTGGGGTCCCTTGATCCCGTAGCCAATCTCAAAAATCTCCTCCGAAAAATGATGTTTGGCGGTGAGGAAGATTTTATTGCTTAAAATTATTTCAAATTCAAAAACAAAAAAAAATTTTTGATTTTTCATAAAATGGCGGGTTCCCAAAAAAAACGTCGCTTTCTTGTGAAAAAAAATTACACTTCAGAGAATATTAAATTCCTTCCATTCAGTCAAAATTCTTACAGTCATTGCTTGACAAATAATTAATTTCCTAAAAAATATTTTCACTGTATTGAATAGTTTATTATAATACCTTATTGTATATATTATATATCGTACATATATTTGAAAAAAAAAATTTCAAATTCACACGTAGAGTTTTAATAGTCGTAATTTATCTCACAGCAAAATTTTGAAACAAATTTTTTAAAATTGTTTACAACTCTACTGTGCGGTAAAAATATTTGTCTTTGGGTCTTAGTTTCAAAACGTAACCTTATTCATCAAGATGTATTTCAGTGTAGATAGTCCCCTTCGCTTTTAAGTAAGACGAAAAAGAATAATTGCGTGGTCTGTAAATTGTTTGGGCAAACTTTTTTTTAATGAAAATAGGTCTAGCTTTATTCTTCGACATAATCGCCATTGGAATAATGCATTTGTTGTAACGGTCTCCTACTTAAGAGCTTCAAAATAAAAGCTTGTTTTCATTTTGACCTTCTCATTTGAATCACATGTTTTGTCATTGAGCCACTTTTTAACTCCGGAAAAGAGGAAGTAGTCTCTGGCTGTCAGCATTGTTCCAAGTGTTGTTTTTATCGCAACTGCCTCCCTGCTGTTAGTCAAAGGAATCTCTTAACATAAATAGTGAGAAAATACTTGTATGTAAAGTAGATAAATAGATAAGTATTTATATATTTAAAAATTGAGTTTATCTGCCGAAATATCAGCTAGAGTCTGATAGATGAAATTAAGATTGTGTCCTTAGGCATAGTTCTAATGGCCCGTCAGCGACTAGATTCAATAGTGACCAATTTTATGTTGAAAATAATAGAAATGAGTGGATATTTTATTTTTATATTATATGTTACATGTCAGCTGATGGGTAAACCAACCGATTTTTGCGGAAACCCGATAATCAATAATCACGAAGTACGAATACTACTCACGATGCTAAGCTGCCGCTTTCGTGGAAAATATATATATGTGAAAAAAATGTTGTATTGGCATAAAAGTTTAGAGTATTTTCAATTATTCAGTTTCAGATAAGAACTCCCAACAAACGCAAAAGTTAGTTATCGACTGGAGACTGATTCGATAACCAGTCTCCTTCTCAAATCTCTAACGTTATCGAGCAATAATAGAGATCTCAACCAAAACGGGATACTATTATTCAATCGAAATTCACATTATTTATTCAACTGACTGGTCTTCAATCAGGTTCTATTGTAGTTCCTCTATATTTGCTGACTGTATCCATTCAATTTAAAGAAATTAAATTTAAATTTTATTTACACATTTGCGTAAGCAGCGCTTTGATGATTCCACGAAAATTCCGATATTTATTAGCTAAGTTGTTATGAATATAGATCTTACATAAAACTATTACAAAAAAATATGATATACATATGTTTCATAAATTATTACATATTCCATTTAATCCTTAAAAACCAAAAGTTCAAATCTCGTTTCCTTTTTTAATTTAAATATTAACACGGCATACGGATTTTCGTGAATATTTTTTCAAAAGCAAAACAAAAATATTTACACAGACGCTCGTCACATAAAAACAATTCGGCTTTACAACAATTATGAATAGTAAAAAAGCAAATATCCAGCAGCGCGACAGCCTGCAAACAGTTGCAACCCTGTGTGTTGATATTAAATCCACAAAAAACACGCAACAGAAAAAAAGCTGCGCTTTTAATTGCGCAACCAATCGAATTTTTTCATGGGAGGCGTTGAAAAGGATACACGCGCTAAAATCAAATTTTGCTGGAACTCACTACAAAAATTAAACTTACATCATCAGCGTAGCTGTGGAATTTAAGGATCACACGGGCGTAAAACAATTTGCACATACGTGGCACTAAATTTTCCAATTTTTCTCCGCCGCATTAAATTTCAAACTAAAAATCTCAGCATTCGATAACAGTGGTAGTAGATAGTAGGTATATTACGTAACAGACGGACGGCTACCAAATAAAAGTTTTTTGGCAACGTGAGATGTTAAATAATCCCATTTTCTTTTCATATGTATTTGGTAAGTCTGCCAAATCAATGGCAATATCCAAGCATTATTTGTCTACTTCCAGCTAAAGATAAAATACGAAATTCCATTTATCAAATCGCATATCTTTCTGCCACGGCCATGCACAAAAAATAAAAGTAAAAAGTAAAAAAAAAACAATAACAAAGTACAGGTATTTTATATATTAAATTGGCAACGTAGCGTCTATATATTTTTTATTCTAGCTCCTTTTACAGTTTTATTCATTTGTTTTGGCAAAAAAATATCCTTTAGTAAACTTTGAAGTCGTGCCGTAGCAGGTGATATAGAAATTAGAGTAAGGATAAATGAATTGCCTTTGAACTTTGTAGAAAAGCAGCAGCACTTTGGGTCAAGTAAAATGTTGCGCTACGATGATTTCACTTTTGTTTCAAGTTTTACAGTTAGTACGCCAACAAATATGTACACTTCTAAAACTTTATCGTTTTATTTTTGCTGTATATTTTTTAATCCTTAAATAAAGATTAGTATGTTAAAAAAATATTTAATTTATGCTTGTCAGTTGCCAATACAATACCTCCAATTTTTCAGCCTATCATGCGCATCGAATATTGTAGGGATTTTTAAGGGGTTATGTCTACTTATAAATTTAAACAAGTAAGTTCGCATGTAACAAAACATTTTATACTCTTGCAGCTTGCTTTCAGGCGCTCGTAAAACTGTATATTAAAAAAAGTTGCGAAAGAATTCAGCATTCCTTATTCGAAGAGTTAGTATATTCTTGATTTATATTGAAGATCATTAACTTGAACTTAATTTTATTGCTACATTTTAGTTCGCGCCAGCAAAAAATATATTAAAAACACCTTCAAATGTGATATACATATGTAGGTATCTTATATCAACTCGACCGAAAGGGGCTAAATTTCATATATATCGAGTTGTGGTAGATAAAATCAACCAGAGAATCGGATTTCATTATTTTAGGGAAATGAGGTTGAGAACAAGGTCTCAGTCAATTCCATTCTAATTCAGCGTTTTATAAAGTTCGAATAACGTTATATTATGTATAAGAGGGCTAAGGAAACCCAATTTTGACATTGAGACATACAAGGACTCGTACTATTATCAGGAAAGAATTCTGTCCGAATTTCAAATTTACCAATATCTCACACCTTAACCGATATTTTCATTAAAAAATCAACTATAAGCACTGGGATCCACATATTCAGTACCTAGGTACTTGAACAGTTCTGGTTCGATTTCGACAATTTTTGGTCATAAGATGGCACACTTTAAAGGCATTATGATACATTCCTTGTTGCTTTATCTGTATACTAAAATGTGAAAGAATCAGATGGAATTTAAAAATATGTTATATGGGAAATAGGCGTGGTTATAGTCCATTTTCTCACTGTAACATAGGAATATTAGAAGAATGTTATTTACCGAATTGGGCTTAAATGGGTGGAGCTGATCCTGAGATATGTGATTTCACTTAAAAGTAGGCGGTGCCACGCCCGTTGGCAAATTCTGACTTCGGCTCCTATAAAGCCGTCTTGTGCCATTCTGGATGTAAAATTATCTGTCTCTGATGCATTTAATTATTAATTTATCACACTTTTAGTAGTTTTTAACAAAACCGTTATATGGAGAGTGGTCGGGGTTATAATCCGATTACACTTATTTTCACACTATCGGAAGAATAGTTGAAAAAATCTGTCCTGTGCAAATTTGGAAGATATATACATTAAACTGATTAGAGGGCGGGGACACGCCCACTTTTTAAAGATTTTCGAACCACAGGTCCCCTCCTTAATGTGATTCGTTGTGCCAAATTTGATTTGTGCATCTTAATTTACATTTATTTTAGTTATGGCCCTTTATATGTTTTCGATTAATGGCGTTTTGTGGGCGTGACAGTGGTCCGATTACGCCATCTATAAAAAATAAAATCAAAACTTCTTGGTTATTTCAAACTCAATTTGTAGAATGATTTGGATTTTAAATGTTTGTGTTTTTCGTTTTCCCTCTATAAGCCATATCTACTCTTTGCTTCTAATTCTACAATCTACTTCGATGGTCAGTTGATGAAAGCATGTGCTGCTGAAATCTAATCAAACTCATATAGAATACCGCTCTGAAATGATAACAATTGCAAGCCGCCACTATTCGCTTTTGTTTTGCTTGAGCGATCAAAGCTGCCGT